CTCCCTCACCACAGAAGCCTTGATCTGCACCCCACACACTCCTTCCCTGCCCCTCCCCTTCCACCACACCAGACTTACCAGCTGCATGCAGCTCTCCCAACTGCCGGGCTGGTATAGGAAATCGGATCGGTATCAGCCAACATGCCGCCTTAAAAATCGGCTATCAGTATCGGCCCCAAAAATCTCTATCAGTGCAACCCTAACTATTACAGTTTACATATAATTGGTTTCTTTTAAATCACTCATAGAAGCAAATCAGTGCATAATGTCAAACCCATCCAATCCCAAAACACATGCAATCTGCTTTGCAGTCTCAAGTTCTACAAAGTCCCTGAACTCAGTAAACCTATTACTGGTAATATGAATGACTTTATTGATTAGTAGTGGTATACCCATGTTTTCAAAAGTCACTCCTCCCATCCCTCCCCCTCCCCCTCCCCCCAACAAAGTTTCTCTCTATTTGATTTGTGAACTAGACTATAAAGATGATGACCATAACTACTATAGCTTCACATGTGTACTAATTCATATTTCTCTGGAGTTCATATCAACTGAGATTTTCTAAAAAAAACAACGAGGAATCTGCTTCTCTATCAAAAATGGTAGTATATGCATTACTGCATTTCTGTTTAGAAAAAGGATATGAAACTCGTTATGGGAAAGAGCCAACTGGTAGTTTAATTAAAATTCCCTGGACTACAGCTAAAAAATTGAAGACATACCCAAGCCTCTGTCCACAGGACAGCTCCCATCAAGCAAACTCCACACAGAGTTGGTTATTAGGCAAAGTTAACACTAACATTTTAGTGAATAAAATTAATTTTCATTCCACAGCCAGCCACAGGAAAGCAAGAGAGGGGGAAGTATTTTTTTGCGTGTGGTTGATCTCGCTTTTCTTTTGCTTCACACTTTTTTTTTTATTTTGTCAACTCCAACAATAGATCCCATTTTGAAGTTTGAGGAACGAAAGAGCTCTGCTTAATATTTTTGTCTCCCTGCAAAAGGCAAAACTCATTTCCAAGTAGGAGAAGGCTTTCCAGGAATATACAATAAACTAGAAAGGCAAGTTCTTGCAATCCCTTCTGCTTGTGTTGAGACCACAAATATCTAGAAATTATTCAAAACTGATCTACATCTAAAAGAAAGCGGTGCCTGCTGAGGGCAAGGAAGGGGCATTAGTTATTTTAGGTCTGCTAGCTGAACTGGGTAGTGTCACAAAACCTATCTGTTTGTGTGTTTTCACACTTAAGAAAGGGTATTTAGGAAAGCCTGAAGTGCTCTCAGGGCACACTAATTAATGAGGAATAGCTCCTTACAAGTCTATTATGCCAAACTGGTACCATACACAAAACCTCAGCAATCTCACAATATTGCTTTTAGTTATACAATATTACTATATTGGTTAGGAACCCTGATCATAGACCAGGATCCTACGGATGCCCCAAAGAGACAGTCCCTTCCCCCAAAAGCTTGCAATCCAACAGACAGCAACAGATTAGCAGGACTGTCTCATTTCCTATGCACTTGTGAAGTTACAGAATATTATTCTGCCTCAACATACCAGGTTTTGCAACAGAGTGTAGGCTTGATGAAAATGGGGTAACATTACCATTAGAGATGAAGCAAAAAGCCTTAGGGAGCATCTGAGTCTATTGTCAATGATGTCATGGGCAGCTTATTTCTATGCTTCTAAAGGTCCTGCATCCATCTGAACTGTCCCTAGCTTTGTTCACGGGGTTTATAGCTTTTTATACAGCTGGCATGCCCCAGAAATGTAAACAAATAAAAACATTTTATCCCTGTTTAAAAAGTACCACTCTCCTGATTTAATGTAATTAAGTCAGCTGGAGGGAAATTCTGTGAAGGAGCAGGTATCATCCACCGCCCAACACATTTCATAGCTTCTCATGGACATCTATGAAATTGGATGCCTACAGCCAAAACCAAAAACAGCAGCATTATATCCACAGATGTGGATATTGCTTTCTTCCTTCCCTCACAATATAACCTGCACACCTGAAACTTTATATGCATCATCACAGGATGGTCTTTACAGCTAGTGTTAAGTGCAACTCTCTGAACCTGAGCTGCCAGCATTTCACATGCCCTGAGGACTGAGAAGGTAAATACCCTTTTCTGGCACACTGGTTGAGGAGTTAGGCCATCATATGCAGCAGTAACCAGCTTTTGAATCTAATGACATCACAAAGGGCTGTAGACAGATACCACTTGAAATGGGAGAGATTAATTGACACTTTGGACTGTTCATCAGCAGTTCTAATTTAACCGTTATATCTGTCCATTCTTATATCAGCATAAGTGAAGATAGGCCACTATAACTTTAAGCCTCCTTCATTTGAGCTAGAGATAAAACAACTTTAAAGTTGCAGTTGTTCAGCTCCATTTATACTGATACAGAAACAGAAAAATGTAACAGTTATTATGGCCATGCAAAGCTTCAGGTGCCAATTTGATTTGGAGGAGATTTGGCCCGATTCAGCAGCGGAATCTCCTAATCGAATCAGGAGATCAATAAAAAGGTATGAATCTATTTGGAAAAGATTCAGAGAGCTTCGGAGATTTAGGTAGCCCCTGCTCACCACCACAGGGAGCTAGACAGTAAGTGGTGGGAGGCGGTGGGGCTGGAGGAGGGGACCATGGGGGACCCCTGCCAGGCCCCATCCCCTGCCTGCTCCCCCAACTCCCCTGAGCGCCCCCCTCAGCCATGGCTGCCCCACCCAGCCCCAGCTCCTGGTTCTTTAAAGAAAAAAGCCCTGTACTCGCCAGCTGTTGCAGCAGCCGTTGGGGCTGCTGGGGGTTTGTGGCACAGCCCCCCCCCAGTGTGGGGCATTGGGGATCACCCCCCTGCTTGGCAGGATCTGGTGAGTGCAGGGCTTTTTTTTTTAAAAAAAGAGCTGATACTGGGGTGGGCATGGCATCCATGGGGGGGTGGGGCTGAGGCTCGTGGCAGAGCCCCCCACACAGCATGGGGCAGCAGGGATTGTCCCCACACCTAGCAGCAGCCAGCGAGTAGAGGCTTTTTAAGACTAAGGATGAGCCAGGATGCTGGGGCTGAGAAAGCAGGTGGGGGATGGGGGCTCATGACAGAGCCCCCAATGCAGCACAGGGTAGTGGGGGGCAGCAGGGATCGCCCCCCAGCCTGGCAGCAGCTGGTGAGTGCCTCAGGCTTTTTAAAAAAAAAAAAAAAAGAGTCCGGAGGCTGGGGCCAGGCAGGGCGGTCATTGACAGGGCTGGGAGAGCGGGCGGGGCCTGTTTGATTTGGAGATTCAGCCAAATCGGCAGCAGCCGAATCTCTGAAACAGATTCAGCAAAATCAATTTGGGACAGTGATTCAAATCACCGTCCCCTGAATCGGCCAAATCCAAAGTGAATACTAGCCACTTCGCACAGGCCAACAATTAAAACTGAACCACATACACCAGAATAACTTGTACATTAGTTTGCACCCTTCAAACTTATGTGTGAACAACCTTTACAATATCTGCTGGCTTTTTCCTATATCGGCCACTAGAGAACAACCTGACATGCCTCTTCCCAGCAAACTGAATGGTTACTGTCTAGTAAACAAGAGAAAGGCAGAGACCTCTGGATTCACTCCCTGGATCTGCGGCATACAGTGGTTAGAGAGAAGAGAACAACAAAATGATTTAGATATTCTGAAACACAGGATGGTGCAGTGGTAAGACTGAGATGTGCCGTTTTAGGCACTGTTCAGGGAAGTGATCTTAAGTGTTCTGTTAACTTTTTGAGAAAATGGGAAGATGAGAATGTTCAGAAACTGATGACTTCCACCTCTTCTTTTAGGATAGTGTTGGCTGACAGCACTGATAATTTTTTACCAGGTGCCATAGGAACTGGAAGGGTATTTAGAAGAGAGAATGCTGCAACTTCGGTCTCCTCTTACCCAGATTAGGAAGCTCTCTGCCCCCAGGTTCATAGTGGGCAGGGAGCTTTAGTGAATGGGATAAATGAAAAAGTCAGCCTCATTTTTCAGCTTCCCTTGAAGCAAATAATATAAATTCCATTATCACTCTGTATCATCAAGTAAAATTCAAGAGGTTCAGACTGGTACATGTTTGTGATTTCCAGCTGAAAAGTCGTGTCACGCCAGCAACCAATAACTGATGTACAAAATGCAAGCAGCAAGAATGTGACCAAAGGACAGACCCCCGGGCCTTTTAGATTTCTTGATAAAAAGGCTACAAAGGAGGAGGAAAAAAAATCAAATATGTCCAAGAAAAGACGGCAGGCACTTAGTTTCCCCAAAGATTATTATAAACTCTCCAGAGCATCAAGTTCTATAATAGAGGGCACACCCCTCCCCCCAAAAACTAAGCTGATCAAGAATTATAATCAATTTTCATTTCACTAATGCTTAAACACCCAGTATTCGCCACTCTTGTGAAACTGGAACTCCCTCATAAAACATTTACAATGGCAGAGATCCTGATACACCACATCATGATGTATGTGCTCCTTGTGGTAACAGTCATCTGAATTCAGCATGGTGCAGCAGATTCTTAACATTTAAATACATGACTGCATCCATCTTTACATAGTGAAGAACCTGACACTGAAAAAACCTCCGTACCTTTGCAAGTTGTAAAGGTTGCACCTTATAATCCAAGGGAGTGTATTAAGAACAGCTTCTTAGTTTGCCTGATCTGTGCAAGATACTGTGTGTAAGAGATTATTTTACCATATATAGTTTCCTCTTCATTGCATTGTGGTTGAAATGACTTCTGTCACTTCCTACTGAGTCATCAAGTGGTAAGAGCATGCAGGCTAAAGATATTCCTTTTAAATAAAAATAAGAACACCATCTACATCTGTTCACAAACCTGTTTTATGACAAGTTTCATACTGAACAATCTTGGCTCCATGGTAAAATACTGTTATGCAACTCAGACAAAAGAATTCTAAATATATAATTAGGACAAAATTCCAGGTCTAAAGTAATTTACCATTTGCCCTAGAAAAACACAGAACATGCAGCTTAAATGTTCTAGATTTTAAAATGCTTCTATGGAATTTCTCAAAAGTTTTTTCTACATCATGTGTGTTATGAGAATACACTTAAAATGCTCTTTGTAAAACAACAGATTGCAATCCAATCCAGGCTGCATTTACACATTAGATGAATAAAAGGTCTGCAATAAGTATATATAAAACTTAAGTTGAAAATACTATAATTTAAAGTACTCTCTCTATTGCTATACAGGTTTCCCTCTCCAACCATGGGGGTTAGGTTCCTGTGGTTGGCAAAACTGGCAGGGCTGGGGGAGCAGGGGCAGTGGGTGAGGAGCACCAGCAGGGCTGTGGGGGGGGGGCAAGTGAGGGGCACAAGCAGGGCCAGGGGCATGGGGGGTATTTTCCAACTGTATCCCCCACCTTCTCTGAGGCATGGATAGTCAAAACCGTTGTTGGCAAGGGAAACCTGTACTATAATTTGAAAATAATCCTTATTTATATGGTCAAATCCTTGGGTTCATTAGGCAATTTTAAAATTATAATAATGATGCTGTTGCTTACTTCAGGAGCATTCAATCCCTGGCCTATGGGCCACATTTGAACCCTGGTGCCATGTCAGCCAGCCTGTGGGACTCCCTGCAGGTCCAAAAATTTGGTGGCAACAAAGTGGCACATGCCACTGATTTAGGCACATACAGCAGCATGGGGCCCAATCCTAATGTATGTGGTCAGGCAGGGATGGCACAGGGGCCATGCAAGTCTGTATACGACCCAATCCAGGTGTGTGGGCTGGGCAGAGGTACTGTAGGGCCCAATCCTGGTGCAGGGGACCATGGGCAAGCCCCATACCACTCACTTGATCCACTGGACCAAAAGATTGAGCATCACTGGCTTACATAGCTCAGAAAAAAATATTAGAAATAATTATTCCCAAACAGCAAACTACTTTTTTCTTTATAATAAAGATGACCTAAAAATTCCATGCCCTATCATTATTAAATAGAAAATTATTTCTTTTCCTTAATGTTCCTGAAGCACTTCCTTAGGGAACTCAGCTATTTATTGAGAGTTCTCAAGTCTTAAAATAGCAGTGTTGAAACAGCAACAAAGATGCACTTTGTCTCATGTGCTCATTAGCTTTCAGCATTATTTAAGGGGGAGGAGTATTTTTTTGTTTAAGTCTGAATAAAAATTACTTCCCCAATTGCTTGATGCAAAAGTTCTTCCACCCTTGGTAATGTCAGTTTCTTTAGTTCTCTAAATGTTCCCAAAACGGAGAAGGGACCTAGCAAGGCTACAATACCACCACCCAATAATTGCAGAGGTGCTAAACCAGTGGTTTTCAACCTATTTTCATTTGCGGACCCCGTAACAATTTAGAATGGATGTACGGACCCCTCTGAATTGTAAGTGTGGGTATTCACATACATTTAATTAAATGCAGTCATCTTCCGTGGACCCATTAGACAATCTGTGGACCCCCAGGCCACAGGCTGAAAACTGCTGTACTAGACTATAGCTACATGATGAGTGTGTTTCAAGTAACCTCATCTCATTTTGAAAAGCAGCTCTTTTTTCCAAACTTTAAAGGGTACCCAAGTTTCTAATGAGAATCAAAGGAGGCGGGGGAACCTTTTATAAGCCACCAACTTTTTGTTTTTCCTTTTTAAGACACTAGCCTAATTTTTGGTGCACAGTAGGTGATGTTTTCAGTTACATTACGAGGCAAGGATTTACATCACAAGACAAGGGATAAAACTAATAACTCCATGTCTCTTCTCATTAGCCTGTTTTTGGAGCTTGTGATTCAGCCATTTAACCTGGGGGAGGAAGGGTGTTACGTGTGTACATACATGTGTACACCCACACATGTAAGTATACACATGTAAAAATTCACATATACACTGTGACATGGCAGTGGGGGCACCTCGGGCAGGGGCATGTAAATATACATATACGTAAATATACACACACGCTTATATATACAGCTACTTCTGGCTGATCTCATAGTTACATTCTTGAAAAATGTGACTTTAACCCAAACATTGTTAAGCAAATTCGATTACATCACTGTAGTTACCTACTAGCAGGCGGTGGTTATAAGCCAACATCGTGCAACTTTAAGCCAGTATGTTCTCTAGTAAATCAGCAACATAATTACGAAAGTTAACGGGGATGACCTTAAGTGAGTAGTAGCTGTATATGTGCACGTGCACACACACAAATACACCCATATACAGGTATACAACCGCATGTGTGTTTCCTGCCTCGGCTCCTAGGCAAGCCACTTCAGACCAGCCGCAGGGGGGGCTGCTCACCTGCATATTAAAGCAGCGCTAGGCGCCAGGCTCAGCATCCTTGTGAACACGAGGCCGCGGGATCCCGAAACGGCCAGATCCTTTCCAACCCCCCCCCCCCCCCC